AGCAGCGACTGACTGAGATTCTGTCCTGGCCCAACACCGCACAGCCGGAATTCATCAGAGCCTCAGCTCCGGCTTCACCAGAAACAACAGACTGGATGGATCTGTCAGATCCTCTGTATCTCCTCTGACTTTCAGTCAAGTGAGACGTTGAGCTGCAGATGTGCTTCCCACTCATGTGTCTCTGGCCTCTAAAATGTCATGTCCATACTGAACATACCAAACCCAATAACCAGGAACAGGTGCTGTCCCCACTTCCTGTCGTTCATGGCGGCAGCAGCCCCGATCACTGGCTTTATATAGACCTGATCAAGGTCAGAACCTGCTGGCACAGGATGATTTTCCTCTCGTCCTCTGGTCTAAAACCTCATCTGGTCCTAAACAGACTGGACCTCCCACAGCTCCTCTCTCTGTTCCGTGGCTTTGTCCTGAAGAACCCACCCCTCCCTGCTGGAGGCCTGGTGACACTCACCACTGTGCTGAACTTCAGGATGACTCACTGTGACCTGCCCTCTGCCTGGTAAACACTGTTTTCAGCACATCACGTGTAAATGTGTGAGAATCTGTGTGGATCATCAGTTTATTATTCTGCAGTTTTACTTTTGTCAGTTTCCTTGGTGACTTTATCTTACTGAACTTTATTTGTTCCAGAAACAGGTGATCAACGATTCACACTCCAGATGACGGAGACAGAGGAAGGCCCTGAACACATCACTGAAACATTTAATCACTACTTAAAGGCCCAGTTTGAAATACCATTAGTGAGATGAGGAGGTTGATTCCACTCTTGTCTGTAAACTACAGTCAGCAGCTAGTTAGCTTAGCTTAGCACAAAGACTGGAAACAGGTGGAAACAGATAGCCAGACTATAGCTGTGTCCTAACTCAGAGCCTGCGGTCTATGAAGATGTTACCAAACCAAAATGAGACGGTCTGGTCTAGAGAGGATTTCCTATTTGTACAGTCAGGTTAGCTGTTTCAAGGCTTTATGCTAAGCTATCCTACCTGGCTGTAGCAACAGATTTACTGTCCAGACATGACAGTAGCACCAGTCAGTGAATAAGCTAATTTTCCAACAATGTCAAACACTTACTTTAAATGTTAAGACTGTAATTAAATCTCACAGTTAGGTATTAATAAATCTGTGAGTGATCATGGTCGCTCTCTGCTGTTGTAGATTCTTCACCTTCAAACAGAGCTGGGCTGAGAGACAAACACAGCTCCGCCATGTTGAACTCTCTGCTGGGTGTGTGACAGATACAGTGCGTTGAGGAGCTGTGTGTAATAAAATGTGTGTCTGTAGCAGGAGGAGAGCACACACTGGAACAGACAAGATGGAGTCACAGCAAGGCAACACCCGACACCCTGGGAGTCTCCCAGCTGGTGTGACACCGGACCATCTGTGGGCCTGTTTATCCCACAGAGCTGAGGTGGTCATGTGGAACTCTGTGTGTGTGTGTGTGTGTGTGTGTGTGTGTATGTGTGTGTTCCACTCGGACTGCAAGGCGTGAACAACTTCTACACTGACTGAAGAGCAACAATTTGAGCTGAGGACTGAATCATGCCTGTTACAGACCGACCCAGTTCATTAAAGCAGTGCACACACAATACAACATGGACTTTACTTTGAATGGTTCTGACTTCCAAAAATATAATTGAGTGGATACACAGCTCAGAATACTGACCACCAAGGTAAGAATCATCGGGGTTGGGGTGTCTGACCCCTGTGATTAAGACTTGGACACCCCAAAAGAGGTCAAAACAACAGTTTGGGGGAGTTGAAACATTTATATAATATTCTTACCTGTAAATGTAAATATTACACTATTCCTGCCTGGAAGAATCTTATGAGACCCCGACATTAATGTTAGCTAGTTTCTAACGTTAGCCCTAAGTTACAGTTTAGCTTACCAGTGTTAGCTGGTTTCTAACTTTAGCCGTAAGTTAAAGTTTAGCTAACTAATAAATGATAGATAAAATGTCATGTATGATCTAATGTTAGCAAACACTGGTGCTCAGTCAGTGAGACAATGGAGGATTAGTTGTTGTAGAGACACATTTTTCACATCAATATAGAGTTTATTACTTCATGTTAATAGTGTTAATAGTTGTGTGTCTTCGGTGGTTTACCTTTTGATATTAACTTCTATAATCAAGACATTAACTTCAAAACAAGACTCCATCATTGTTTTCACTTAAGAATTCAGGAGTTTTACCTGGTTTGGTAAGTGAATAATATTAAAATCCATGTGTGAGAAATAGTTGACCCCCCTGATTATCATTGTATAACACACTCTGACCACTGACCACCAAATCTGCAGCCTCAGGATGTTAATATTATCTCACGAGGAACTGCTCATGAAGCAAAGACCAGCTCCTCACTGACGCAGCTTCTACCAGGACTGTTTAAATGTGACTGTGTTTAACAAAAGAAGAATCACAACTCACAAAAATCACTTTCCCCTCTAATCCTCCTCGAGCTGCTCCCCAGAGCCCCACAGGAATTGATGCGCACTGCCGGGATTCTGAGCAATTTATTTGCCACACCAATCTAAACTGAGAGTTGGATTTCATTACCGCAGAGTTCAGAGGAAAACAGTGGTGGAGGACGAACTCTGGTCCAAGACAACAAAGTTAAAACACTCCATCACACCTACAGTTCCTGCATTTACTCTGTAAAATGTAATTTAATAGTCAGTGAGACAATATTTATTACAATGTGTTGTTAATACTGATGTGTCAGTTAGTTTAGTCCAGCGGTGCCTCTCACTACAAATGGTCTCAGGAGGGTCTGTGGGGTGGTCACTGTGGAAAGAAACACATTTGTCTAACAGTCTTTTATTTCATCTTTTTTTTAATTAAATAATAGATAGTTGTACCTTTAATGAAACCATCTCAGAGGATGAGCAGCATAGTCAGTCTTTGTTGGAACAGATAACAGCTCAGAGACGTCCAGACTCTGGTTTATGGTTTCAAAAGAAAAGATGGTTTAATCTTCAATAATAAGATTATTATTGTACTGTTTTAATAGAATCTTAATCTGGGAGGTAGCTACAGTTGTTAAAGAGATGTAGTGGAATGAAAAAGACAAGAAATAGAAAATTGAAAAATCCTGTAGTACGAGTACTTTAGTAAATGTACTTCGTTACTCTCATGTCATATCAAGTGTTTAAGATGTGTGTCTGGAGGTTTGTATGTGCCAGATACAATACAGAGTAGACTGGGTTGGTAGCACTGGGTTTACACTGTAAAACACTGAGGTCTGTTGTTTTGGCGTTGGCTGCGGCCCACAGTGATCTATGTTCAGTCAATGAATGAAGAGCCGGTGAAACGAGCTAACAACCTAACCAACCAGACACTGACTTAATGTTAAAGGTCACAGGACAAGAAGGTGACCCCAACTTCAACAATGCACTGTGTGTTATAATCTTGTCATCATTATAATCTGAGAAGTAACTAGTGTCCACACCTGTAAAATAAATACAGTGGAGTAAAGATTAATAAAAGTACTACTATAAGGCAGTATTTCCTTCCTGGATCAAAAAGTATAAATACCTTAGAACAGTAACAGAGTAACAACACTACTCTGGATTTAACAGCAGACATACACAATCACAGTAGTTACGTAACACTGCTGTAAAGGGAACCTCTATAGGTTTTTTCCACTCAGTCAGATGCTGCAGAAAATAAACACTTGTGCAGTGAAGTCACTGCTGAGCATCTGAAACAGACTCTAGGTGCGTTTAGTTCACTCAGCTACAACACGTCCATGTCCAATACAAGTGTCTGATAAAGGTTGGAGGAGGAATCAAGTCACAATAAAAAGCACAGCAGTTGTTTCCTCCTCAGACCTCTGACTCACTCTGTTGTAAATGTGATTATGTGTTATGTGAGTTAATCTGCTGCAGCTTTAAACCCTGCTGAATGTTTGGCCTGTTCTTTACTTCACGATACAGCCCACGTGTAATCACCACACACACACACACACACACACTCTGTTACACTAAGTGACGTCCTCCAGCCTGTAAACATGTAAACATGGATCCTGTGAACAAACAGATTAACACATACCTCCTTAAAATAAAACAAGAGGCTGGAAATTAAATGTGACGTTCAGGAATTACCTCTCCTCACAGCTGTGATGTCACATGACCACACCCCTGTATTAGTGAGACATGAACCTCCATCTTTAGACCTGAACACATCCACAGTTCATCAGCTCCAGGTCTCATGTCTCCACACAGACTGAACAGTCCAGCCTCCATCTTTAACTCCTACTATCTGACTGTTACCTGCTCAGGTCGAAGACAGAACAAGCAATAACTGATCATGTTCAACTGTAGTTTATTTTATTAAAAAGACCAGGGTGCAAATATGAAATTAAAAAAAATAAAGACAAGCATATCATTTTTAAGCATTTAATACAAACTTAATATAAACTATTTCAGTCCCTCTTGACATGTAAGACACTGACTCAAAATACTTTGTTATACTGTATTTTTTTATCAAGTATTGCACAATGTAGGTACAAAATTAATATTCATACGATTACATTTTGTCCATAGTATAGCAAAATCTTTTTAACCTCTTAACAGAAAATACAATTCATCTTTCAGAAAAAGCAAATATTCCTACACTTGAACTCCACCACTAAGGAATACTCTGTACACAATCTTCAGAATATTTCATGTTTTTCTTTTTTTTTTTTTTTTTTTTTTTAAAGATGGATTTCTTTAACAATTATCTTTAAAAAAAAAAAAAAAAAGAAAATAAGGAAAAGCTGCTGCAGCCATCACAGATCACTGGAGTAGTAAAAAGATATAAATGCAACACCATGTCATAGAAACAATATATACTCTGATATCTTACAAACTCTGTACTAAATTAAATTATACAATTAGAAAAAGACCAAGTAACCCACTTAGTAGTGCCAATTCATAAAAATCAGCCTTGTCTTACCACCTGTAAAATACTGTAAGAGGCCAAAACTTTAAGCTTGTATTCTTTTTTTTTTTGTATTTTCTCAACATAGTAAAAAATTTTGTGCTTGGTTGGCAAAAAGGAAAAAGAAAAACAATGATGCATGTTGAATTGAAGTAACAAGCTTGGATGTGTTTGTACAACAAGCTTTGAGTAGAAACAAACTCAAGGGGGCCACAGTAGAGACTCCCTTGGGCACATGCGCTTGACTGACTAGACACTACATCCTTGAAAGTCCAGTTTCTAAGTGTGCGTTTTGTTTTTCCTTCTCTTTGAGCCACCATCATTCATAAATAACATCGTGATGATGAGTTTAGTTAGCCATGACTGGCTGGAATTGCTGGTTAGAATACTGCATGTTGCTCAGACTGAAGTTGAGGCCATCCATTAGAGACTTGTCGTTGAGGCTTCCGTAGGCTGCGAACATGTCAAAGGCATTGTTGTACTGCAGGGGGCCCAGGCCCAGGGAGCTCTCCCCAGGGAAGACGGCTCCGGGGCTGGCCTGGGCCTGGAGGCTGGGGAACACAAACTCCTTGGCGTTGGGGGACAGAGCAGAGGCCTTCTGTTGCTGCTGCTGCCCCAGGCCCAGCCCGTACAGTGAGTGCATGGACGTGGAGATGGCTTTCTGCTTCAGTAGGGTGTTGACATTCAGACCCAGGTTATTGGTGGGGGAGGTGCGGGCCACCTTGGTGCTACTGCCACTGTTATTGTTGTTACCACGACCACTGCTCTTCATCTTAGTGGAGCCGAATTTGGTGGCAGCGAAGGTGGCAGTGGTGAAGGTTAAGGGCTGGGTGGAGCGTGGCATTAGGGAGGGGCTCACGGCAGCCGACTGCCCGAAAGGAGGGGAGGGAGAGCTGGACTCTGAGGAAGCCCCAACAGGGTCGCTGATTGGCATGAAGACCTGGGCCTCAGGATTAAAGCTGTTCTTGATCTCCTTGTCCAGCTCTGACCCGTTCTCATTGTTATCGTCCACATAAAGCACCTTCACCGGTCCCTTCTCCCCAATCTGGTAGGAAACCTCAAATGGGTCGATCCACACACTAAGGTCCTGAGGGAGGTTATTCCGGACGTCGCCGATGTCCAGCCCGCTCTCTTTGGCTGCCTGCTCCACCACGGGGTCCACCTTCTCCCCTACATGGATGCACCTGAACCCTGAACCTTTGTATGGCTTATCCGGATACCAGTGGCCTTCATATTTTTTCTTCAGCTGCCTCTCAAGCTCCTCGCCGAAGATATTCACACGTCGTCGAGGGAGTTTGTTGTATAAATAGGAAATAATAAAGTTGAGTGCTACTTGAATTTCAAGCTGCATAGCTGCTTCAGTGGCGAGAGAGATTCTTTTTCCGTCACAGAGTTGCTTTTACAGAGCGATGCAAAAACCTCCGAGGCAGCAGTGACCAGTGTGAAGGAGCAAGTCTGATTGAGAACTTGTTGCCAAAGTGAATATCCTTCCTGCAGCAGAGTTAGAGTCAGGATCCTGGAACAGAAAGAAAGACATTGAGACTCTGATGCCAAATACAACAGCATTATAAAATTAGAAACCCTTTATTATCAACGACATGTTTTTTGTATTAACTCAGATTGTTCACCTCCACACGGGAGCCTGTATCTCAGCTGTACAATATCAACAGCTATAAATAAACACAGGTCAGTGGCTCCAAGACGGTGTCAGCAGCGTGTGTTCCCCTGCGGTCTAATGTGACAGATAAACGCAGCCACGGTTGACCTCTGCGGAGGGCGGGGAGGGGGTGGGGGGGTCTGACGGCAGCTGTCAATACTCACATAGGATTTTCGATTGGCTCGTTTTGGCATGCGGACATGTTGAGACATAACTCCTGCTTTAGTGGGAGGATGTATTTTTTCCTTTATTAAAAGACAAGGCTGTTCTAGTGCTTTCCCGTGCACCGGCGGAGCCACCGTAGGTACAGCAGCACAGACCAGCCCGCTGTTACATAATCATCATTCAAAGTCTAACCACGGCCATAAACCCGTTCTAGCTCAGTTACGCGACGACATTAACAGGAATCAACAGAAAAACGATTCACTTTCTCTGTTACAACCGAGCAGTTAGCATGACTAGCATTAGCTGGCTAAGTTAATGAAGGGTGTGAACAGACATGTAGCAGGCTCGCTATCTAGACGCCACATACTGTTAATGTTTAGCCGTTATCAGCGTTAGCTCGCAGTGACATCGTCTGTAGCGAGCTAAATATCACCGGGCCCGGACGGTAAAGGGAAGCTAACGTCGATGTTAACGGCGGCAGAAAAAGAAAATTTGCTTTAATCTGAACCGACGAACGCGTCGATCGATAGCAAGCTACGTAGCATTTTAATTAGCTAGGTGGCTACAGCCTGCTTCTGTCGACTGTAACACCAACGTTCAATGACACCGCTGACTGTCACTGCCCGAGACTCGAGAGGAGATGTCATTAAAATTAATGCAGCTCCCGAGAAAACGAATGTAATGGCGACGTTACGTTTATATCGACTTACATGGAAATTCACACAGTCGGTCCTTCCTGCACCAGCCTCAGTCCGCTCCAACACCTCCACAGCCTGTGGTGTAGTTTTCTGACGGAGATATAAAACGGTGTCGTCGATGTTGTGTCTCTGTTGCTGCTCCAGGCGGTTTTCTTTTTTTTTTTTCCTCTGTGGGGTTCAGTTGAATTCCGACTCGCAGGAGACCAAGCTAACCCCCCACAGCCTGGGAGTTTTTACAACTCTGCCCTTTAAAACTTGGGCTGGTTTGTTTTTATAGTACCCCTCCGCCACGGACATGGAGGAGGTGGTGATGCGGCTCGCAGAGGTCAACACCCAGTGATGTGTTTCTATTGACTACGCGCGGCTACGTCATCAACAACCGCTCCAACCGCCGCTGTGATTGGTTAATGTCGGGCTCAATCACCCGCAGGGTTCTATTTACGGTAGTGCTTTGCCTTTCATGTGCTTGGGACTATTTTATTGGAGCAGGTTTTAGCTAAAACCTCTTGTTTGTGGGAGGAGAAACATGGCTCCTGGTGTTACAGTGAAACGTTCTAACATTAATTTGATTGAAGGGTAAAAGAAAGACGAGTGTTCATGTCTGTTCGACATGATGTCCGTCCCTCCTGGAGCTGCTGTGCTCGGAGGTTGTGCTCAGTCATGCATGAAACCTCCGGCTGAACAAGGAGTGTGTTGTGATGAAAGTGTTCAACAGTGTGTGTAGTGACTGTTGTCATAAAAAAAACCTCGTCAGGCTCAGCTCTTCCCTCCACAGGGGGTTTAACGGGGCTGGATGGTCACGGCGGCGGAGGGACACACCTGTCACTGGACGTGTTCCCTGCTCCTCACAGTGACATTTTGATGTTCCTTGAACCCCCCCCCCCCCCCCCGACTGAGAGCTGTTTACAATCTCCACCACTCTTAACAAAGCGGATGTAATCTCATAATTACCATCTGTATAAGTGTTGACATTCTTCTCCCTGTGTGTATCTGTGATAAAATTCTCCTCGTTATAATGTCTGTGGACTGTGACAGTGAATAGTTACACGGTGATCCCGGCTGCTCTCTCTCAGCAGCTGTGCAGTGCATGGCTTAATCTCTCCCCTGTCAGGCCGAAGGTGTCTGACGCCACAGCCTGTTCTTACCTAACATGGACTCCCGCACTGTGTGTTTGCACAATAAATACAATGCCACATGAATTATACTGCTGGGAGGGAGGTGGCAGCACAGGGAGAAGGAGGAGGAGGAGGAGGAGGAGGAGAAGACAGGCTGTTCTTTGGACACAAAAGTATTTCCTGACTCAAAAACCCAGTGAAACGCTGTATGTGATGTCTGTGGATGTTGATTTATAGGAGAGCTGCTTACAGGCTCTGTGGGGGGAGCAGCAGGGGAGTCAATATCATTTCAGTGGCGTATATGATTGGTCTGAATCAATAACAATTCATTTAGGGAGTCTGTTGTTCCTCACTGAGTAGAAATGAAGAAATGGACTCAGTTTGAATTAATATACATGCTTGTTGTAACACTTCCAACGTCTCCAATCAGGAACAGGTCACTAATCACCTGATTACGCCACACCTGAGAAAGTAGCAGTAGTAATAGAAGGAAAAAAATAATTTTGAGGCAAGAAAGTTTTTTACGTAATTTATTTTTGTATTAGCAGCCTGCTCTGTAGTTAAACTCTTCAAACTTATCTCATGTTTATTGTGAGTCTATGTAGATATTTTACATGCTAGTTGTCAGTGCTAATGTTTTAGCTGTTAGCTGTAAGTTAAGCTAGTTCATGGCTACAAGAGTCTGGGTTAGATACACGGTCACACACGGACACAAATGTTCAGCTGTTGAAGCTGGTGAACATTTGCACATTTTGTTCAGTTTTATTATTTTGTTAAAACACCAATTATGTTAAAAAGTAATTGAAGTGTTGAATAAAAATCTTTACAACATTAAGTTTTTGTCATAATCCTTACGTCATAATGTAACATTTCACTCCTTGTGTTTGAGACAACTACAGACATGTTCTGTTTGTGTTGCAGAGATAACACCTACACCATTTAACAGCAGACACATGGAACTAGTTTGTATTACATTTTGAACGCACTGACTTAAAAGATACAGACAGAAATGTCAAAAATGTTACAACCATCCCTGGTCTCCCCTTCTTTATTCACGATGACGTTGGGCAGCCGCTGTCTGAGCTTTAACAGATACAGAGAGGAGGGTTCACTCTTTTAAAGTCATCCTCGTCCCTGTCAGTGTGTCTCTGTACTCACAGTATTACTAAAGAAGAACAGCTGATGTATACATTAACCCCAGTATACACACATATGGGGATAATTGTTGTTTATCACAATAGCACAGTTGATGTTTAGCTCAGAGCCACGTCCCAGCGCCATAAACAAAGTGCAGTAAAACACAGTCAGCTCAAGGCTGCAGGACGCTGCAGGCACAATGGAGATCTCTTCCAACCTCCAGATTGAGTCTCAGCAGGGGCGAGAGATGAGTCCCCCCCCACACCACACCACCACCACCACCACCACAGAGGAGGTGGTGTGATGGATGACCTGAGTACAAACTAAACACACCATGGGGGCCTTGGACACACACCAAGGCCACCGGAGCAGGAAACGTGTGACTACGACCAAATGTTCAGACATGTTTCAGTTTGCTGCATCGCTATTCAACAACAAGTCCGTGTTCCCAGCGCTGTGAGCAGCGCTGCTCAACCTCACTGTGTTAGTTTTGGCTGTGGTGGGTGGAACAACATTCACCAGGCCTCACAATGACCACCTTGTTGTTCTCCAGCAGTGTGGATGTGGATATGGATGTGGAGAAAGCTGCAGCCTGTTGTTGCGAGTCTGTGTCTGGGACCTGGAGGTAAACACAGCTAATGAACTGAGATGTTTTAACATGACTCATGCAGATTTTTGAGTGAAGTCAGTCCACATAGACATTTTTCCCTCCTCTCTTCACAGAGCTGTGAAACCCTGCTCTCGTCTCGGGCTGTTAAAGTCCCAGATGTGGTCAGCGGGCTTTAATGTGGTCTGTGTAACATCACGAGCTCAGAGCTGAGACATGAAGTGTAGATAGTAGATAATAAGAATCTGTGCCACTCTTTACCACCAAGACAAGAAAGAGAAAACGTTTTATATGGAGAGGAGCTGGTCTGGGATCAGTGAGTTAATAGAACCTGCTGTATAATGAAAGCTGCTCTCATTCTGGTTATTTGACTAACACTGAGAGCCTGGATAGGTTTATGAGGTCCAGGTTCAGAGCTCAGTGTTTGGACTTCACCATGTGGTTCAACATGTTCACCTGAAGGATAAAGCTCATACTTTTTATTACCCTTTTCATTTTCAGGTTCTGGCATCTGGTCCTTTCTTCTCTCTGAAGATGAACAAGTTTAATTCAAATTCAGGCCAAAGTAAATAAACTACAGGCTCTCAGCTTCCTCCAGTTCTTCATTAAACCCTGGAGCTTTGAAGACTGATCCACTGATCCTCATCTCTTTATCTCAGAATATTCTGACCTGCAGCCCAGAGCAGCAACGTCAGTCTGTACGTTACAAACAGTAACAACAACCAAAGTCTGAACTTTTGACCTTTTAAAGCTGCTGAAATCAATATTTTTATATTAACAATAGATCACATGACCACATGTCTGTGAAAGGGGCAGTGACAGCTCTCAGAATGATCACCTAACCCACAGCTGATACGGCCCTACAGAGCATTTAACCGTCCCTCAGCTCATGTTATTCATTTATTTCCTGTCTTTGCTTAAGTTAAGTTAAATTACCTCTGAACAACCACAGAAACAACAACCTGAACCCACAGACTGTAAATAAAGATGGACGTAGTCTCCGTGTCTCTGAAGAGCAGAGTGGGCCGTACCGTCCTATATGAGCTCTCTGTATATGATGAACCAGCTGACTGAAGTTTCACTGCTCTGTTACTGAAACACAGTCTGATCTGTGGAGGAGGAGGAGCTGCTCTGTTAGGATTCATATCTGCTGAGTGGTGATAGCGATCTAAGATTACTGCTATATGAATTTATAACCTCATGCGCACGTGCAGCAGCACCTGCTTCATTCTCCCTTAAACTCAGAGGAGTGATGGGGTTTTAACTCCAGCAGCAGACAGTGATTCACCTGTTTACACAGACCATCATTAAAAGTTCAGAAAACCAGTCTTCACTCTGGTACAGGATGAAGGTCTCCTTCAGTGCAGCCTGGACGGGGATCAGGTTCAGGCTGTTTCCTCTTCAGCTGTTTACAAATGCTGTGGCAGCAGAGGGAAGCCAGAGAGCTGCTCTCACACTCTCGCACCACTGCCAGGAATGTCATTAATATAAGCACATACCCCCTCCCCCCCCCATACCTGCATGGACACACAGCCATGTCTCTGAGCCTGAGAGGGAGGAGGTGCTGGAGCAGCCAGCGGCTTCATATCTGAGCCGGTTACAGTGTTTGACCCCTGGACAGATTCATATCAAACCATCTGGAGGAGGAGGGAGGTTACACAATAATCAGCTGTGCTCCTCCTATTTAAACACCACTCTGCTGTTTGGTTTCATGTTGGAGGATTATGTTCGGCGAGCCGGCTGCTGTGTCATGAATCAGCCAACTCGTACTGAGGGTAATGACAGAGACGTTTTCCCGCCTCAGACGCACACACGACCCGCAGAGCAGAGCTGGACTCTGAGAGGAATTCAATCAGACTGTGGGATGAACAGTCAGAGCTGTGGAGGGAATGAGCTTCAGAGTGAAGGCCGTCCACTGCACATCTCTATGAATACTGAATGGAGGGTGCCCCCCCTCCCCCCACATCACTGTGATTTGTATTTGTAACCCCCCCCCTCCATACACACACACACACACACACACACGCTGCAGGCTCCTCCTTCAGATCTGTGTCGTCTCCCTCGTCTGTGTGGGCGAGGTTCAGCCACTGCAACAGATGATGTCAGAACACGCAAACAACACGCATCATCATCATCATCATCATCATCATCAGATATTAACAGACACATCAGCAGACACAGGCTCGACACTCTTCCACATGAACTCCCATCAAAGTGTGAACACAGGCTCAGTTTGCACAGAAGCCTTCAGTCCTGTGTGCCAGAAGTGATGTTGGTGTCGTCATGGCAACTATTCTTACACACTACCCCATGCTCCTCCATAGTTAAAGTAGCAATCAAGTGGTGTTTTGTGACAAATGTCAGCTCTTATCTATCTATATCATCCTCCTTATCTCA